TCTCCATGAAGGGCCTCCGGGAGCTCTCCCTGCTCCTAGCAGCTCTGCCAGATGCATGCAGAAGCCTCTCCTCCCCCCATTCCCAAGACTTTCCTGATGGCAGAGGAGGCCGAGAAGGCACTGGCAATGGAAAATGAAGCCCTCCAACCCTGGCCTCCCACAGAAAGAAAGCTCCTGAGCCCCATGGACCCCAGTCTGCTGCCCTCAGGCTCCAACATGACCTCGCTCCATCCTCTGGGTCAGCGGTTCTGAACCTGCAGTGTGCTTCAGGGGTACCTGGAGGTCTCATGAAAAGACAGGTTCTCAGGCCCCTCCCGAGTCCTGGCAGTCTGAGAACAGCCTTCTGCTCAGGTGGGGGAGGGCACACTTCGAGGATCACTCTCCAGCCTAAGAGAAAGCGGGTCATGAGTGTTTTATGTGGGTTGCAGACCTGAATACCTAAGCAATTGCCCGCATAATTCCTGGAAGGGATTCTAGTCACGTAACTCCTTATTCCATCTCCAGTGACTTGGTAGGGATGGAGTACTCAGCAGATTTCCCACAATCATGTGATAAGGATGACAAATGAGGCAGATGCTCCAACCCAGCCCACTTCAGGAAACCAAGTCAGGTTATCACTTGCACCAGGCCAGGCTCTCAGCCTGCAGAGTTGTCCTTGGCAGTGCCCGCTGTCTGCTGTCATGGAATTCACAGCCTCCTTGCCCAGGCCCTGTGGAGGGATGAGGCTGGGAGCTAAGGGCTGGGAAGGCTTATCCACACCGCCTGTGTGTGTGTTGGAAGCACATCACACCCAGGAGCCCCCTGCTCTGGCTCCAAGCACCAGGCCAGAGCCCCACAGGGTGTCCCCTCCCTTTGGACTGGCATGGGCTAGCTGTTGGCTGTGCTTTATCTGCAATTCCTACCCAGCCAGATAAGGTCTTGCCAAGCCACATGAGCTGGATTCTCCTCGGCCTGCTGGGTGTTGCCTGTGAGAGACAGAGCTTCGAAGCCTGCTGGGAGCTTCTCACTCGGACAGCCTGGGGGCGCACAGATGGCACCTTACAATGCAGGGAGGGCAGGGCTGAGTGGGGCTCAGGTCCTCAGGCCCAGAGAGAAGCCTGCACACCACTTTAGGGAACCAGCCCAGAAAGGAGGCCAGCACATGGGTGAGAATGAAGGCAGAGAGAGCCGCAGTGCACTGTGGGAGAATTCATGGTAATAGGGACTCAGCTCCTTCCTCTTAGGTTTCTTTGATCTCCGTTCCAGCCTCTCCTACACCTGGCCTTGTTATGAGGAGACTGCACATCATAGACTCTGCAAGAATCACCTTGTGTTAACAGCAGTACCGGTTTCAAGATAAACTGGATCCATTTTTCCCCCAAGAAAGAATCTGTTGATACACCCTGGTGTGTCATTGCCTCCAGCAGCCAGGCCGTGGGGAGTTTCCAGGAAAGGGGCTTGCTCAGGTGGCCCTGGGTCACAGCGCCAGGCTGACGAGGTAACCACAAAGCTGCCCTGGTCTCTCAGGACCCATGGCGGAGGGCCTAGGAAATCCCAGGGCTGCATGCAAGTCACTGCTTCGTGCAGTGACCTTGGTACAACATGAGCTGGGGACGTGATGGCGTGTGTATAATCCTAGCTGTTTGGGAGGCTGAGCCAGGGGGCCCGGGCAAGGCTAGCCCGGGCAATGTGGCCAGAGCCTGGGTCAAAACATGAAATAAATAAAAAGCTAGGACCGAAGCTTAGTGGAAAAGCTCCCTTGGGCTCAGTCCCTCGTACCACCAAAACACATAAAGTCATAAAAGCAGAGAGGAGGAGGGAGAAAAGAAGGAAGAAGGGAGGAAAAGAAATAGACACAGGGAGAGAGGGAGAGAGAAGCAGAGAGACAGAGAGACAGAAGGAGGGAAACTCAGGCACTCCTGTGTGACACAAGCCTGACAACTGGCTACATTTTCCAGTGACTTCAAGAAGCACAAGCTCTCCGGAACCTGCTTCACTCGAGTTAGCCCCGTGTTTGCCTCAGGCGCCAAAGCGCAGGCCGCTGATTCCCCTGCAACACAGGGCAGGTGCTGGGTGCAGCAGCTGGGAATCGTGCTGACCGCGGCTAATTCCTGCTTTGCCTGGAAGCCACGGAGGCTGTTTACCCGAAACCCGGGAGACAGGCCTGCGCGCCCGGAAACCGGCCTGTAGTGCTCTTAGCTCCCTAATCTCTGTTACTCCACACAGCGCAACAGCAGCCCTCAAATGGCCCCTAATGAGGGGAGTGGGCTGAAAATGCTCTTGGCCTGCGCTCTGCGGTGGCTCCCTGCGTCTGGGTGCAGCGGGGGTTCCGGCCTCGCCGCCCGGTCCGAGGCTGCCACCTGGCGCTGGGCGCGGGTAAGTGCGGCTCGGAGAGCTCTCGGAAGGAGCGGACGGGGCTCTGCCCAGCAACTGGACAGTCTGAGAATAATTCTGGGTGCTACAAAGTGACCGCTTCTCGGGCTTTTTGTTCCTTCTGCCAGCAGCTGAGCGAAAGAGAAAATGAATCTTCCTAAAAGAGCTACTTGCCGAGCCGGGAGGGCCCGCAGGGGCCGCGCGAAGCCACGCGGGGTTCCCCGTACGTGTTCAGAGCGCCGCCTCCCAAAGGCGGGATTTCCGCTCTGAGGCTCCAAGTTTCAGGTCCCAGGGTGACACGGAGCCGCGCCCAGGGTCTCCACAGCCGACTGTAGCTACTTGCGTCCGTAGTGGAGCACGTGGACTCCCCTGGAAGAGCATCCTCTGCCTGGGCTGGGACCGCCCTAGGGCTCCTCGTGCTCACAGCGGCTCCTTCTCTCTTGTCCCTTGCCCCGATGTCCCCTGCCCTCTCCAGGCTTTGCCCCAGCCAGCCCTGGCCTGGCTTCTTGCTGGGTTCGGGCTCCTGAGGCAGCCCAGCCCCCAGTGGGCTTTATTGTTTGCATTTCCGTCCCATGCCACTCCATGTGCATCCACGGACTATACTCACAAGAAAAACTCAAAGGGCCTGCTCAAGTGCATGCCTGGCAAGCACAAGGTCCTGCGTTTGATTCCTGGCTAGGGAAAAGAAAAAAAAAAAAAAAAGACCCAATGGGGGGGAAAAAAAATGGGCATTTGAAATGAATGCACCCTTACTTCTCAGAAGTACAAATGGCAAATAAATACATGAAGAAAATATTCAACTTCACTGATCATTTGAGAAATGCAAATTAAAACCACAGGGAGATTCCTTCTCACTCCAGAAAGAATGGCTACCAGCAAGAAGTCAAGCAACAACATGTTTAGTTGAATTCAAACACTTATAATATTTAGACACCAATAGAATATTCACCTCTGACAGGACAAAATAAATAAATAAATATTTTTTAAAAATGGAAATGGAAAGAAGCAGTCAATGTTCTAATTAGCTTCGTCTCCTTTTTTTCAATTGTTTGTACTTCTTCTTTTCTTAATTTCTTATACATTGCTCCAGTTTTTTCTTCTTCCAACTTTATGTATATATCTGGTAATATGAATAGCTGGTTGTAAGACAATACCGTGTATTACAACAAATACTGTGAAATTCATATTACTTTGTTAAGTAAAATTCTGTGTGAGTTGTCAAAAATAAATACATAAATTAATTAATTCAGAAAAAAGAAGTCAAGCAACAGCAAATGCTGGTGGAGCTGTAGGGGAAAAGAAACCTTCTCCACTGTTGGTGGGACTGCAGACTCAGGCGACCAGTGTGGAAATCAGTGTGCAGAGTCCTCAAAAAGAACAAAGAAAAAGAAAACCTAGGAGTAGAGATTCCATTTGACCCAGCTATTCCCTTTCTTGGTATCTTCTCAAAAGAATTGAAAGCATTCTATCATAGTGATATATGCATATCCATGTTAGTAGCAGCACAGTTTATAATGGCGAAGTGTTAGAAAACAACCCAAATGCACATAAAAGGATAAAAATATTTTTTATGTAACGAAGCACTACTTAGCCCTGAAAAAGGATAAATCGGAGACATTTATAGCTCAATGGGTCAACCATGAGACTGTACTCTTAAGTAAAAACAAATCAGATATATACGTGTAAATATCACATCGCCTCTCTGGTGTGAGACACTGAAATTTTAAATAAGAATCGAAAAGTAGAGAGATGATACATCAAGAAGAGATTGTTCAAAAGGTAGGAAAAAATGGGAGAAGGGGAAAGAAAGAAAACATGAGGCAAGGAAAGGGTACAATGGAAGCAAAGGAAGAAGGGAAGACGGATTCAAGGAAGGAAGGGAAGTGGGGGCAGGAGCTGAGATAAATCCGGTACCAGTGACGTTTCCTAAAACGCGGTTCTGATCATCATCTACATCCAATCTAAATTGTACCGATCAACTTAATTCTTAAGACCAGACTGCAGCGAGAGGCTCTTCCTGGAGGATACTGCCCTAAGTGGCCAGGCTGGAGAGGCCGGGGCGGGCCACACGCGTGGCCTAGGGCCCGAGCGTCGCCTCTGGCCCGTGGCCAACAGAAAGGCCATGCTTCTTTCCTACGACTGCGGGGGAGTGCATTCTGTCCCCACTCTGGGGGAGCTGAAGGTGGATCTTGCTGCCGTTGTGTTCTTGCTGAAGCCATAGTCTAGGCCGGGAGACAGCTGAGAGGCAGAAGCGCCTGCCTGGCTCGTGCAGGGTCCCGAGTTTGATCCCCGGCACCAAAAAGAAAAAGAAAAAAAAAAAAAAAAGACACAGCCTATTGGACACCCCAATCCCAGCCCCATGAGCCCCTGAACAGATAATCCCGTAAGCTGGGCTCTCCGTCCCTTAATATGCATGCTTTTCAAGCTGCTAAATCTGTGGCACTTGTTTAGACAATGATAATAAACTGTACTACAATAGGAATTGAATGAGCTGATAAAATAGAAAGCATAGCAATAGAAAATCATCAAAATACTTTTGTGCTTTTTATTGTTTTAGGGGAACTTTCAGGTGAACAGGTATAAGTAATGATTTAGATAAACATGGTACACGGCGTGGGATCAAACACTTTTTTTTTTTTGCCCACTTTTATTTTTTTGCCCAATTTTTATCGCCCAATTATTCAGTGGGCGATTTCCTCTTCCCCAGATATCCTCCAGGACTCCTAGGGGCCCGGACAAAGGGACGCCTTGATAAATTTAAATACTTGATAATAATGTGATAAAAAGTGACAAGCACTTCAATATGAAATGTTTCTTCTCCTCCAGCCGCGCCAGGCCTTCGGCTGATCACGCAGCCTCACTGACCCTCGCTCGCTCTCTCCCTTAGTTTTTCCACTTTGCCTCCCCAGCCTGGGCACTGACGGTCTCCACCTCCCCTCCACCACCCAGGAAGAGAGAGGGCTCCCCTCACCCGGTGTCAGGGGACATGACGCTGCATGGTAGCCACTCTGGCTCTCAGCACTGCCCCAGTCCTGGTCTCCCACCTGCAGGTCCTTCAGCTGTGCAGAAGCTTCCGTACCCAAGCTGGGCACTTATGACTCCATCCTTACTCCAAGCCTGGCATCAAGTCCGAACTCTGATGCTGGGTTCCTTCCCTTCTCTGGAGCACCTGTCACACAGGCCCAGCAGCCCCGTGTAGCCTCTCTTTCGCACATCTCACTATGGTTCACGGTAAGCCCTTAACCCTGACAAACACTGGTGAGCAGCCAATGAACCACACATCTAATCTCACAAATACTTCTTAGGTTGTAAACAACATTTGAAGCTGTTCTGGGGCTGAAGGTGTGGCCTAGGATTCACATCCTAACACAGAGCCCTGGCCTCAGTCCAGGCACAAATCAGACACCAGCAGCCTCGCGCACCCCCATGTGCTGTATCCTGTAGAAAGCAATCACGAAGTCCTTTCCCCACGCCGCCGGTGGGGCAGGCATCCCTCCTCCTGTCATCATAGAAGAGGGGTTGGAGGGGCTTGCAAAGCAGCTTTCTCCAAGCCTATCTTTCTCACCAAATTCTCTTCTGGTTCTTGGATATGTTTAGGGGGTGTGAAGCCATCTAAGTGGCCCTCGGCCTTTTTGCTTGAGCATCTCACTTGACACTTCATCTGTGTTGCTAGTTCATGCCTTGTGGCACTTTGAGCTCAAATTTCCTCTGCGTATGCCTGTTGACCCCAGTCCCATTCGTAGGCGTTCCCCATAGAACCTTTATTTGCCTATTATGAAGGCTTTCACGTCAGGAGCTAAAGGACGTGCTTAACACTCAGTAGCTTTCAAAACAGGAAGGTGACTCTGCAGCTTGGATCTTCCAGGCACTGTAGTGACTGCAGCTGACACTGAGGTGAGCTTGAGTGACAGAAAGATGGGAGGGGTGTGCTGCTTCTTTGTGGCCTCTCACCTGGTGCCCCTCATTCCAGCAAGCTAGTGTCCAAGTCCTGAAGCAATCCCAAGTCTCCTGCTGCCTGGGCCATCTTTGGTGTGCGACTTCACTTTTCTTCTCCTTGCCCCAAGTCCACCTGGACACTTGGTTTTCTGGGTTGGAGACCATGTGACAATGCACAGCACACTGTGAAATGCTCCGCTCCACATCGAGTCACATTATCGTCCATCCTCATAAATGGCTACAAAGCTATCGAAATGCAAGTTTTGATTTTATTTCAGATTAACTTTAAAGCTAAAGGATTGAACTCATGAAGAAAAAAAAATCATAAAATCCAACTGGAAAATTTGGAAGGGAAGTACATTTTTTCTAGGAAGTATGCAAGGAGAACATTTTGAAAAGAAAGGCATCAAAGGTTAACTGTGAAGTTGGCTTATTCCAATCCGTGATTAGACAGGTCATGTGAACAAGGTCATTTTGTGAAAGGGAAGCACATCTTGTCATGAGAAGAACAGACAGCTGAATTTCCAACAGAATTAATTCTTCTGCATCGAGGGAGCAGCTTCTTTGACTCAAGCACATGGAAATAAATCTGCTTTCCACTGAGTTCAGGATAAAAGAGGAAGAGATGAAGCTGCTATGAGCATGCTCTGGTCCTGGGTCAGAATACCTCATCTGACGCGAGGCATTAAATGTCAGGTTGCTCCGATCAGTGTGAATGTTGTTTACAATCCTAAAATCGGTGATTTTATGCTGGCCTTACTCATTTGATAGGAACTGAGGTAGCGTGACATCTCTAGAGGATCCTCCAGAGTGAGAAAGCGTGTACTTGCCTGGGAGGGAGAAAGAGGATAACAGTTCTTACCACTGTGTTGGAATCAAACGTGAGACCACCATGAAAAATCTTACCATCAGGGATAAATTTAGGAGATGGGAGGCCAAGAAGTACCATGTGGTGGGTGCAGAGGGCCAGCATTTACTGTTACCATAGCAACTGGTATGTACCAGGCATCACTCAACTGAGACGAAGTGCTACGGTTTTCAGATGTTGCCGGGAAGAGAGACAGAATAGATTTAGGATCACAGCTTGTTATCGCTGGAAGGAACCTTGGTGAAATCTTAGTGTTTCACTTTACTAACAAAACCCAAATGTCTAGAAGGGTAAAGAGATTTACAAAATGCTCTCAGGTTGGTAGGTGGCCGTGAACACAGGATCCCAGGGTTCTGGCTGAGCACGTTCCCCAAAGACATGAACTTGGTGTGGAATTTAAGCAGTTTGGATGGGATTGCCCATTTTCCAATCTTCATGATGATGTTACCATAATTCCGTGGGACTAGAGCTCTTACGTATGACTTCAGTTTAGCTGATAACGCAGTGCATCTCTGTCCCTTCCCACATTCTACCCTTCCCTCCAGGGGGACCGTGACTGTTGGCTGTGCCTAAATATTGGCTCCCCAGGAGCTGAACACCGTGAGCTTCAGTAACCTCCAATATAGGAACGTGGGAACGTGGGACCAGAGGTGGGAGGGACAGAGGTCTGTCTCTTTAGTAGCTATGGCTCCTGCCTCCTGCAGGGCACAGCGTGTGGTTCATGTCAATACCTCATCGGTAAGGGCTTGACTGGTATTGACCTAACCACGCTCCTCCACCTATACCTCGGCGATCCATGCCACCAAAGTCAGCCACATCCCCTAACACAGCTGAGATGAAACTACAGTGACACTAATCCCAAGAGCACAAGGTTCTGACAGTCTGCCTTGAGCACAGGCCAGGGGAACTCTGGACCCACAGAAGGCTGACATGGTCACACTTCTCACCTGGAATTTTGTAGGAATTAATTTTGTACTTGTTTTTATTATAACTCACCTTTGTTTTTCTGTGGGTAGAAGCACTTTAAGCGTTGAGGTCTGGCGGTTGCACTGGATGAATTTTGCTGCACAAAAGAAAAATCCCGTCATTTGACATGAATACTATTCTTTTGATGGCTGTCTGGGTTTCTTGACTTCTTGATGCCATTAATGAAATTTTATTCCATCTATGCACTGTGTAACTCTCTTTTCAAAAATCTAGGGTAGGGCCAGGGATGTGGCTCAGTGGTACAGCACCTGCCTGGCAAGATCAAGGTCCTGAGTTCAATTCCCAGCACCAAATAAAGGGGGGGGGTCTTTTCAAGAACCTAGGGTAGTCGCTCCTTTTTTTCTGCTCTGCATTAATCAATTTGAAATGCCTAAGAATTTGTGCTCCCATGTATTTTTATAATCTCTAACAAGAAACTAGAAAATGCTGTTAAGGGAGATATTATCCCCTTTTATGCCTGTGCTGACATTTCTTTGGTTCATATATCTGTTCCTAGAAAAACCCATGGAGATAATTATTCCCAATAAAAGTGGTCTCTGGTAGATTGTCCCTTTCTGTCTGTTAACACTCAAGTCTCTCTATGGACCATCCCTTAGTCATTAGTATAACTGAAGAAAACTGAATTATCAAACTGATATAACATGTTTATAACATGTATGGACTTATGGGGAAAGATTTTAAGAAGTATTTAGATGCTCCTATTCCATTCATGATTCCACTTGTCCTTAAGTTAGTCATCAATTTAGCCTCATATCGTGTGACTTCAGGTGTGCTAGACACTTTCAGGCACTGGGAATGCTGGAAGGAAAAATGTCCATTTCCTGCTGTGGTCCAGGTCATGAAGAAGCTAAATCAGGATGGAAGAAAAAATCTCTTATCACAAGTTATAGATAGACCAGTGAGAATGTACCAATTTTCACTGAGATATATATATGTGCCTACCTCATTTTGATACCAAAAAAAAAAAAAATGGAAAAGGTAAATAGTAAAAGGTCTGAAACTTTCCAAGCAAATAGATTTCCTCAAATTCAAGGCTCATGTAGTTATATAATCTTAAGGGACTCTCACGGGAGCCTTGCTTTTCAGACTGCGTCCTGCAGCTGTGGAGAAGTTAATCTGAGGGTGCAGAATGCCCAGGAGCTGTGCCTGCTCTGAGGAGAAGCAGCCTTCCCTGGCATGTACGGTCATCTGATTCTAAAATGTTGAGCCACAGGACCTAAGTTCCTTGTCAAAAGCAAGAGGCAGCTGTGTAAATTCAGTCTTTGGTCAGGCATGGGCACAGGAGCCATGCGAATATACAGAACTTTGGCAAACTCCGTTTTGTGGGTCCACACGGCTTTGTGGCTTAAAGGATAGTCTGTGCTGAGAACACAGCTGGCTTCCCTTTGGCCCGACGTCATCTGTTCGTGAATCTTTCAAGATCCCTACCTCATCGCCCCTTTGCTATTCCTCCGTGAGCTCTGAACCCATGCCCCCCCATCCGCGCAAGCTGCTCTGTCCGTATCAGCCTGTCGCTTTCCGTGGTGAGGGAGGGAAGCTAATCCTCATCTTCAGGACAGCCACTGAGTCTGCTCGCTGGAGTCCTCCCCTGTCTATTTCGTCCTTGTTTTCCCACGTCTCTAACCCAGGCCTCGGCTGACTCACCCCTGCCAAGAGACGGCCTTGCTCAGATCTGGGCCCTTTAAGTCTCACGTCACCCCTGGCCCTGCATCTGGTCCCCCTTCCTTCCTCCCTTCGCTGACAAGTGATCTCTTGACAGCAAGGTCGGTGCCCAGCTTTGCTCATCATCCATAAATTGGGGTCTTGCTTTTTCATTCAAGCTTCCTCAGATAGTTACAAGCTCTTCTTTTCCTATCCAAAATGGATATTTGTTTTAAAGCAAATGAGTCACTTAGCCAGATGACTAAATAGCATTTCTGTCACTCAACTTGAAAACCAAACTGGAAGGAAGCACACAAATGCAACTAGTAAAGCCCTCTCTGACCACTGCGCCTTGGGGGAAAAAGTCTACACCACCTTAGAGACAAGGAGAGGCACTGCCCAGGATTTTTGCTTCAGCTGTTATTTTGTTTTAGGGTGTTTTTCTCTTTTTGATTTTTCAAATGAGAAAAGCTTTTGACTTCCTGCTCTACAGGGTGGAGAGTATCCGGTCTTATTTTTATTTACTGAAGGCTTTTCTTTCCTGTCACTTCCTCCTTTTCATAAGAGTAGATAATGACATTAGCTTTGTATTTCCTGGTTCAAAGGATTTTAGTTCTTGAAGACATAAAATCTCAGAAGGTTAGAAGCTCAAAGAAGCTTCTAGTTCAACACTTAATTTTTATGACGAAGAAAATTGGAACTCAAAGAGATGAAGGAACTTTCCGAAGCCCACTCAGCCAACTGGGCATGAAGTCAGAACCCAGGGCACGTCTACTGGCACCGGGCCACCATCCCTCCCTTGCAGCAAGGCTGTCAGCTACGGTGCCGACCAGGAAGATTTCATAATGCAGAGGATGACTGGATCATGTTGTAAAGATCTCTAAGCACTCCGGTTTGGATGCAGTTAAGTTAGTTGGCGAGTTATCAAATACAGAAATCTCTGCTTTAGAACTTCTATCTCACTGGAGACCAAAGTCTGGAGCTCAACCTTGAAAACAGAAAACATACGTGCAAGCACTTTTGCCTTGAATTCCACTTTTGTGGCCAAGAATGAAACAGAAGTCTACTTCCATGCAAACTTGTCAGATTGTAGATTGTAGAGTTACTAAAGTGGAAGGATCTAAAGCAAGTGACAGTGGAAAGGCCTCACCTCACCCCAGCACCCCCACACCTCCACACCCGGCCTGCAGTCAGCTCCACCCTTCCACATTCACCCACTCAGGGCACTGACCGTGTGCTTCCCCACAGCAGGAATAGGACAGTGACAGAAACTTGAGGACCGTGCACAGAAACAGGCCAGATGCAAGACCTCACGCAGAAAAGTGTGGAGTTGGCTCTTCACGCACTGGAGAAGGCAATAATTACCTTCGATGTTTGCTTCCAAGAGCTCAACGGAGACAACTTTTTGATCAGAAGTTGCCGCAGCTGTAAGGACAATACGGAAATGCTAAAAGATCCACATGCATTGGCAAACATGCTGAGAAAAGCAGGGAAAGACAGCAGGCTGAAACTGGTATTTAATAGTACCATTTCCTAGAAGCACTCGATAGACCATAGGCATAGATAATTGATAAAAGATTGTTTTCTTACCCCTTTTAGCTATAAACAAAACTGAAATTGAACAGTAATAACTCAATCTATATAGATATTAGGAACTGGCAGTGATTACTAGATTAGATTTCATCTGAAATGAAGGATTCCTGAAGCATGTAAGTGACATAAACCAGGCAATTATTTACTGCAATCAGAACAGCAAATTGCTTCTGTAGAAATAGGATATGCAAGGGTGGGTGAGATAGCTCAGTGGACTAAGTGCCTGCTTTGGCAAGCACAAGGACCAGTGTTGGATTCCTGGTTCTGCTAGGCTGTGCCGTCCCCTCCTTCCCCAGGGTGAGATGAGCTGGGAACCAAGTCTGAGTGTGGTGGCACGCACCTATAGTCCCAGCACTGGGGAGACTGAAAACAGAAGGATGACTATGAGTCTGAGCTGCGTAGTGAAACCCTGCACCAAATACCTAAGTGAGAAAAAAAGAAAGAAAGAAAGAGGATACGCAGCAATTGTGCTAACTATAAAACATTCTTATCTCCGCATTGCAACAGCGACTCCACACACATGGCCTTTCTCCTTCTGCCTCTCGGTGGAGTTGCTCAAAGCTTGGCAGAAAATAATCAAACAACTCTCTTTTTAAATTTTTCCCTATTATATTCCCCTTACACTGAGAGTCCTTCAGTAGGACTTCCCACTTTATTTAATGTGAACTACAATTTAACATCTAGTATATAAAAGTCTAGAAGTAAAGAATAGATATACTCACAGCATGTTCTAAATACGTAGGTAAGCCAGGCACGGTAGTGCATGCCCTCAGTGCCAGCATTCTGGGAAGCTGAGGCCAGAGGATCGCAAGTTTAGGCCCCACCCGGGCAACTTAGCAAATGAGGGAGATACTATTTCAAAATAAAAAATTAAAAAGGAATTGGAATTGCAGCTCAGACTAAAGGCCCCAATTCCATCTCTAGCACCACACATAGACACAAATTTAAAAAAAAAAAAAAAAAAGACTGTGAAATCAAAAGGGAATTCACCCCTTAGGAAAGTTATTTTCTTCTTGAGTCCCCATCAAGCCATGATCTATTTATTTATTTTAAATTTTGTTGTTGATACAGGGTCTCACTATGCAGCTAGGAGGCACAGTGATCCTCCTGTCTCAGCCTCCCCAGCACTAGGATTACAGGCATGTGCCACCATGCCTGGCTGCAGTGGCCAGCACGGTGCATCCAGGGTTCCAGGGTGGGCACAGCATACAGTACCAGGGACTGAACTCGAGTCCTTGCGCTTGTAAGGCAAACACTTAGACTGCCGCGCTAATCTCTCCAGTCCTCAGACCATAATTTAAATTGGGAAATTTAACTGTAAAACAGTTTCCCTGTTTTTCTATAATGTTCACATTGAGTGTCAAGGTTGAACCTTTCTGGCTTTGTCAGCAAAGACACTGGGTTCCTCGGTCTTCTGACCATGACTTTGGAAAAAGGATAAAATTTTACTGCAAAAGTGCCTGTTGTCCAACCCTGACTAGATGATAAAGGTCTCAGGATGGAAAAAGAAAGATGGGGCTTATGGAGAGAGGCGCTTGTGACACACCTTGTTATCCAGGAGTATGCCGAAGCAGAAGATGAAAAACCCCTATAACAAGAAGAAACAAAGAGTTAATTGCATTTATAGTATTTTTTCTTTTTCCAGAAAAGAAAGTATTATTTTGGGCCTTTTCCTGCTGTGCCACCAGGCTCTGACCCTGCCTCCCGCTTGGTCCCGTGCAGACAGGAACGCAGCGTGGCCTCCAAGACTCGGGACTCAAAGGTTTTCATTCACAAAATGCCTAAGGAAGGAGTCCTTAAGAGGGTGACACTTCTAACGCACACTGAGCTCCCCACCGGGTCACCCAGGCCCTAACCTTGACAAGGTTCATGCAGCAGGCATTTAGTACATGTGCACCTCTAGTGGAGCGGGCGCTGGGCCCACCCTGTTGTGCGACAGGAACTGCCCTATTTCGGAACCCTGGCGAGGGCCACTTTCAGCCTTGAGCTCCATCTCCCTCCACAGAGCCTCACGTGGTGCCTGTTCTAAGGCTTCACCCCTCGCCCCACGGGTGCTCCCTGACCTGTGCCCAGGTCACAGTCCCTGAGCCATGACCCCCGTGATACACCACCTCCACATGCCCTGTGGTGCTGGAAGGTAGAGAAGCAGCCACTTTTAGGAGACTGGTGGGAGGGAGTGCCAGGCGTTGTGCTACCTGCTAAACTACCTAGCTGCATCTTCATCCTCTATACCATGTCATAGTAACATCAATTTTACCAGTTCACTGAAGATAGAAGTTGAGGGGTAGTGAGATTACGGTGTTTGCTGGTCACAAAGTTGACCGTCTGCAAAGCGCCTGAGAGGACACATACACAACCTAAGAGCCCAGACATCGGCATTGTCTCCCCAAGTCACTGGGCCAGGTGGCCCAAGGAGATGTCTGCTTCATAGAGGAGAGGAAGGCTTCTCCCGCACAGCACCACCCTCTCAGAACATGCGTGACAGCATGAATTAGGGCACTGCGTGCCAGGCTTTGCTGACCTCTGCAGGTCTCTGCCACCATGGCAGGGAGGACAGCCATAGACCACGTGGACGTAGTGGGCACCCATGTGTGCCAATAAAACCTGATTCACAAAGACAGGCCACCTGTGGCAGGTTGCCCGTCGATACTCATGCTACTGGAAGAATTTCCTTGCGACCTCGGTGTTCTCAGGTCTCACCTGGAACGCGTTGGACAAAGCGAAGAGGACATGCCAGGCCGGGTTCTGACTGTTCGCCATGGTTCCGATGCCAAAGCCCCAGGTGAGCCCCAGCAGAGGGGCCAGGACGAGGAGGCCCTTTGCCATACGGATGACGGTGGCCCTGTCATCCCGGGCCGCTCTCTCACCGACCGCCGGCCTCCAGAGCTTCGAGAGCACTAACAGTACCACCCCCAGGTTCACAGCCACGATGGTCAGCGCAGGGACAGCGAAGGCCAAGAGAGGTTTGCTCCCATCTGACCAGTTGAGCCAACACACGTCCTTCCGGCTGTAGCTGTTGCTAGGTTCTGTGACCGCAATGGTGACGATGGCTATGACAAGAGGGCACCCATAGCCCAGGCAAAACCCGATGGCCATCATCGCAGGAGTGGCCAGGTGGTGGAACACGAAGACGATTCGGTAGGACAGCAGGATGCCGAGCACCAGCATCCAGAAGAACAAGGACAGGTAGAAAAAGTGAGTGAAGAAGATGGCAGCTATGCAGACTCCAGAGGGGCCGGTGGCGGCGGGGTCCACGGTGGCAGCAACAATGAACCAGATGTCAGCCGTCAAGAGGGACAGGGCTATGTTCACTATGCAAACGTGGCGCGTGTGTGAGGTCTGGGTGCTGCTGAGCTGCTTCCAAAACAGAGCCTCGACCAGCAGGCAAAAGACGAGACTGGCCATGGAGACAGCCAGGCCCACGTAGGTGATCCACCTCGCCACAGGGATGACTGCAGCAGGCACAGAGGGCGACATCAGCATGGAGAAGGAGCTCAGATGAGTGCAGCGACACAGCACTGTGTGCGGAGTCTCGTTCACCAGGTGACAGCCAGCGCTGCTCCAGCGCAGGTCACTGAAATCCCAAAACACGCAGTAGGGCTGGCTCAGGTTTGTGTCGATCTTGGAGAAGCGCAGGAAGATCTCGTTGATGGAAGAGTTTTGGATGACAGTGGATAGCAAGGGCCCATTGACCCGAGCATGGTCACCTTGGATCTGGGGCAGGATTTGCCCGAAGGTCATGGAGGCCATACTGGTAATAGTTTCTGGAGCAGAGAACCAGAATTGGTCTGGCTTAATTAAAACGTGGCCTAAAATGGGCTGGCGGCTCTCTTCTTGAAATATCTCAACCTGGTAGCTGTAATTGTGTTTGCTTTGATTTCGGGTCCATGGAATCCCTTGCCAGTTAATAAATTTCCCAGAAAAATTCAGAGGCAGAGCAGAGGAAGGTACCAGCATGGTGATGTTTTCCAGCGTCTCTAGGAACTGGGAGCTGGCCTGCTTTTCCTCTTGCAATAAGATTGTCCAGTTTGTAACTGAAGACGAATCAAGGATGCGGTCAGCTATGCTGATAACATCCTGAAACACAAGGGTGGAAGTCAGGGTGTTTTCAGTAAAAGGTTCACCCCAGGTAGTAAATTACAAATGTAGCATTGCGGAATTTGTATTGCATAAGCCAACACTGTGAAATATTTAGACTTTCAAGTATGAGATGCATCCCTCCAAACTATCAGGAAGGTGCTAGAGGGAGCTGGCACACCCATCCCAAAGAGACACCTGGTGGGGGTGGCAGCTGTCCTAGGCTGGTAAGAAGACAGATCTCACATTTTTCTTTCTTTCTTTTTTTCTTTTTACTTGCATTACTAATAGTGACTATATATTATTAGTGTAGTATTTAAGTTAATTTTTAAATATCTAAACTAAACCTTAAACTCCCACTTGAGAGAAGAGAGGTTTTGGCCCAGTACTTAGAAAACTGAGGTAAAAGGATCATTGTGAGTTCAAAGCCAGCCTGGACTACTACGTGAGTTCAAGGTCAGCCTGAACTACATAGTGAGACTCTGTCTCAAAAATGAAAAGAAGATCTGCGGGGCCCAGGTTGCTAAGGTAGAGCTCATGGCTACTGAAGGGAACAATTGCAGAGAGCAAGCAGGGGTCAAAATGTTGGGGTGCAAGAGTTCAACCCTCCTCTCAGCTGCCCACACTACTGGCCCATGGTCCCTCACACCACGCAGAGATAGCAACAGCACCGATGGAGGACTGGCACAAGGCTTCTCTGTGTTTCCCAAGAATCCCACTATCGGGGCACCATTCACAGTGAGTGGCACAAGCCCCACAAACATACTTCCAGAGTTGAGCCTGACACCGTGAACCCCTTCTCCTGGGAGAGGGATGAAACCGTGCTCAGCAGCGACACCACGGACGCCAGGCTTCCCACTGTGGTGGACGGGCTCTGCTGCATGATGACCGAGAGGTTTCCCACCACGGATGACACGTCTGCCTCAGTGGCACTGCCCACGATCACACTGAAGTTCTGCAAACAGAGAGGTTTACGTTCCAGAAAACACAAAGCTGTGTTTCGTCAGCCTGGGATCAGACGTCCCAGCCAACATTTGCACAGCACAGTAGACTGAGGACAGATAAGTATTCCTGAGGACAGCTGTGGCCACGATCCCGCGTTTGCCTATCCAGCAGCATGCTGAATGCTCTTCCCCGAATCCTTGTTTCAATGCTTTTAGAATACTTGAGGGAGGGCAGTGCTATGATTACTGTCATTCATAGCTAAGGAAACTGAAACTGGAAAAGATTGGTTGGAAAACACTTTCAGGTAAAGAATCATCCTAATGCTACAGAAATGAGGAAGCACCTGTGGAGGCATGGGGACCTTCCAGAGAGTGCCCAGGGAACTGCCCTAGCACTGGTCCTGGGTTAGTGCCCCATGGCATACACGTGGAGGTTGTCTGCTGACTTGTGTCCACTCCTCCTGTGTCCTCCTCCTCCTGCACCCCAGCCCTGAGGGTGCTCAGCCCAGATCCCCACCCCACTGGCTCCTGGAGTCCTGCTGGGCGGCTGTTGCTGTTCTCTGCCACCCTCACACCCTGGGGTGAACAGGCTCCAACCCTGCCTGTGTTCAGAAGTGGGCTGAAGAAGGAGCAAGCAAGAACAGACCACAGCGGCCACCTGGTGCTATTCGCCTCCCCAGTCTACAGAGGAGGAGACTGAGGCGCAGAAAGGAAGAACCAAAAGCTCCACAGCTGTGGAGTAATCACTGGCTCCCCGGATCTCTACTGCAATAGCAAGGTCTCCGGAGGTGAGGTTCTGCTCCAGGCGCCGGCTGGCTCCAGCTTTGTCTGTGCTCTGGTGCTGGGGTTCTTCTTTTCTGTGACTCAAGTCCTGACATTCATTTCCTTCTCCTCATCTCTCTTGTCTAACCCTCAGACTTTGGTAAGAAAGCAAGAGTGGGGACCACAACGCAGCGTGGGGACCTGCGTGGCCATGCTTCCAGACTGATACCTTTGCTGGCAGAGGGCCCCTGGCTCCTGGCCCACTCACTTCCTCATCTACAGAGGGAGGCTGGTACATGGTGACCCTGGAGGCCCACTTCAGGTTTGCTGCTTTACGTAGTATCCTGCTGGCCAGTGCTGTCCCAGATCCTGATACTTGCAGATTTTTCCTTGCCCTCAACTCATGCACTCACCAAAATTTTTAACACCCAGGCCTCTGGGCTCAGAAGGGAGCTCAGCTGCTGTCACCCTGAGTGTCGCAGGCCTCAGCACTGCCTCGGTCCTCAGCAGCACCCCTTCCAGACAGAGACCTCACCCTGGATGCTGTCCGTCTTCCCAGCTGCCCTGCCACTCGTGCCCGCCCTCCCCAGCCCACTGGAGACCCACACAGGGCTGTGCAGCACCACACAGCAGAAATGCATCACCTGCAGCAGTTCCTGTAGCCGGGAGAGCACACAGGACTCCCGCACCACCTGCCACCCCGAGGACTGGCACTGCGCTGTGATGTTGCCAGTGTAGCCGCTGCTGCAGGGCTGGGTATACTCGCTGTCCTCAAACCCAAGCCCAAAGGCCACGCTGTAACACGAGACTGGAAAAGAATGGAAACAGGGAAAGGACCCAGGGGATCCCAGCTCCTCTGTAATGCTGTCGGAGGGGCCGGATGCCTTAGAAGTCACATGCGGTGAACAATTCCTGAGTTCACACTTAGAGACAGGATCTGCTGACTCCTCAGGTCAGAGAAGACTTGAAAACATCAGCTGACATTAACCTTTGTCGCGCTGGGGGAATCAGCGCCTGTGTGCGCCGGAGGTCGGTTTGAGAAGGCTCCTCTGCTGGAATCCCCTCCCTTCTCACCCTGAAGACTTGTGAGCAGCTGCAAGCAATGACCTAAAGGACTCCCAGCCCAAGCTGAAGACGGGGCCCAGCATTACCTTTCCTGGACACTGTGAAGGAGCCGGCTTGCAGGAGAAGCACGTTGCTGAGTGCAGCCTGGGCCGCAGCAGCCTCCCGCTGGAGGCCGGCCAGCAGCTCGGAAGTGTTGCTGGAGCCGATGACTTCAAAGCCCGCGATGATACTTCCAGCTCTGCAAGGAGGACACAGAAGGAAGAGGCATCCACCTTCCCACCCATGCAAGCACCCAGAGTCCAGTCTGCGTGTGCGTGGCATCCTGTCCCAAGGAACAAACCAGATTCAGGACCCATCTTCATGGGTCTTACTCTTCAGTGGAGGACACAGAAAAAAGAGCTGCCACCCAGGACATGTTTACAAATTGTACTAAGCATTGAGATAGATGGGTACGGTGGTTGGGTCAACAGGTAGAGGCAAAAGTGTGGTCAGGGAAGCTTCTCTGGGTGACAGTTCTTTGAAGCCAAGACCTGAATGGTGTGAAGAACTGGCCCAGTGGTGAAAAGAATATTGGTTTAACATTCCAGCACATGCAAAGGTCCTGGGGTGGCAGCGGGGGAGACGAGCCTGACTAGCTTAAAGACTGGCTTGCCTACCCCTCAATGAGTAGGAAAGAAAGAGGCAGGAGGCAACCCTGGAGAAGCAGCTAGGAGTCAGATCACAGATGGCCTTAGACTGAGCTTCCTTCATTGTTGACAGGCTTATTCTTCATGGAAAGGCAGCAGCAGGCTCCTGTTTATTCTCTAGGGTCATCAGTCTGGAAAGAAATTGAATGCAGGCAGACACGGAATTAGGAAGATGAGTCAGGAAGGAGCGGAGTGGCTGGAACGAGTTGGGCAGCAGCATGTGTGTGAGAAGCGACCAGACTTGAGATGCTTGTGAGGAAAGAGACATCAGAATTGCTCGTGAAGTAGATTGGGTGTGAGAGAAAAAAAAAGTCAAGAATGACATTGAGGGGGCCTGCCCCTTAGCTCAGTTCTTTAAGTGGGTGCTTCCACAAAGCAGTCAGGCTCAGGTTGCCATGGTTCGATCCCCACAACTCAAGCCAGCCAAACCTGCCCTGAAGGCATTCGGAGCAAAAAAAAAAAAAGAATGACATTGACACACCATGGAATATTACTGGGTAGTAAAAAAGGAAGGGGCCACACTCCTGTGAAAACCAAGGATCCAGCTCAAAGACATTGAGCTAAACTGAGAGGAGCCTGGGTACAAAGCACACACACTGGGCTGCTGCATTGGCAGGAATTCTAACCTACAGTTTGGTGCAGCCAGGCCAGCAGGGGGAGCCCAGCAGCTGAGCATGGAGGTTGGCTAGGAAGGAGCCAGTGTCCTGGAGTGATGGGAAGGTGCTGTTGGGTCAGGGAGGGCTGGTCCAGGCTCTGGGCAAAGCAGACCGCACCCTAAGGTTTGAGCACTGTGCTGCATGTAAATATAAAAAATAAAGCAAAAGATGACTGGGAGGTTGGAGGTGGTACATGGGAATAGCAATAGGAGGGGAGGAAGACAGAGGTTAGATGGACTAGGAGTGGGAGGACCCGGATAGCCATGCTGGAAGCCCAGTGAGGGGGTCACACTGGCATCCAAGCAGCCCCGTCTGGGGTTCAGAGAATGGCCATATTCAGGTAAAGATGGCAGTGGGGCACACAGAGCAAGAAAGATTCCACGTTGCCCATCAGATGAGCCCCATGACGTCATCACTATGTTACCCTCACCTCACAAGCAAAGGAAATGAGACCCAAAGAGAAGGTTCTGGAAATTTCCATCTACCAATTCACAGGTTAGAGCCCAGGTGCCAAGGCTCAATTTCTTGGTCCCCACTTGAACTACTGCTGACAACACCTGCGTGAATCCAGATACCTTTTGTGCTGGGAAGGTTACTGTGTACCCCTGAGGCCCTTCCATTTGTTCACAAAGTCCTTACCTGTTTATTATCCTACTTGATTTAATGAGGATCAGTGAGGTCTCACGGGGATTAGCAGTCCTATTAGACTGAGAAGTAAATTGGGACCATGAGAAATTAATACTTATTTTAAATCATATATGTAAAGAGGAAAACCTAATAAAATTGTCTTTCCAGCCTTCTGCCTACTTTGACCATGATTATGTGCACATACTATTGGAGACGGCTTTACAAGACATACATGATTGCATGTAAGTTGGAAACAGAAAACCCATGCCCTCAAAAAAAATATGAATATTAATTACAAAATTGTAATGTGATTGTCACTTTTGTCTAGTAGGTCTTATAACAAAGCCACTCAGGGAATCAATGACATAGACTGCCTCTATGAGAACAGCATTTTCCTAGTATTGAATTTTGAAGAAAAATACTCATGTGGAACTTTCTAGAATAAATGCGCGGGATGATGTAAAGGGTGAGCCCAGGACAAAACATTTACAGCAAATGCTATTGAAACTTTTCCATAACTGGTTTTGACTGAAAAATAATAGTAATGATCATCCTAATAATAATGAGTCAGGTTCTCTGACCTCTAAGCTACTTCCTCCATCAAGCCAACTATGAATACTGCAATCAGCGTACGCATGGTTAACTGACCAAGTAACTTCTGGAATTAAAACATAAACTGAAGGACAATTTACTAGAGCTCTCTTTATTGGCTGTAGATAATGACTACTATTTTGAACCTTGGTTCATGCATGCTATGTTCGTGAAAAGATAATTCGCCCAAGGGGCCCCTTCTAGCTTCCAGTTCTACAGGATCAAGTCCCTGTCGCTGTGACAGAAAAGAACGTTCTTCCATGTGTAAAGTTCTGGCTTTGCTACTCTCTGTCCACAGGTTTGAGAATATTCTTCGTTATCCAGGCTCCTAAACTCATCTCGATGAGAGTCCAGGCTTTCCTCTCTAAGGGATTAAATAATCCCACTACAAAGACTACACTACCCTGTTTTCTGCCATGGCCACCTACAAAAGCACTCAGCATTCATTTGAAGGGCACAATCCTGGAGGTGCCCTTTGAAGGCCATTGTGTCACTTACCGAAATTGGGTGACGTGAACTGACTCAAAACCTTGAATTCTTTTGAATACTTCTTTGAGCTTAGAAAGAAAACAAAAGACCATGTGATCATCTTTGTTCTCACACTTCAGAAAGACGTTTGAGAAAAGAACGGATGCAGACACTAAGCAAACCCACAACAGCAAACGGGCAAAGAAAAGAGATACTGCTGGAAGTAGTCGCATGACATACAAGTGCAGCTACAATGACAATTGAGAATGCACACACGCATGTGCGTACACACCTACAGAAAGTTTAGTTTTGAGCCTGCTAATAAAGGTTGAATGATAGCAGTTTTGTATAGAGGTTATATTTGCACTAAGTCATATAATAAATTAACCCCAATCTACTACCTTCATGTCCAAGCCAATCCATTAATTTTGACAGGTCCTAACCATACCCGGGCCACGCCCTGGCAGAGGCACTGATTGATCTAACACTCCCAAGACTTTATAATGAAGGCCAGGGTTTCGCTGGGTTTCTGTCTTCAGCCTCTAACTAATCTTCTTCATGGAACCCATCCAAAAGGCTGGCAATGGAATAGAGGCTCCAAAAGCTTTCTTTTGACAAATAAAAATCAGAAAACAAGCCAGAATCCTGAGTATCATAGTCAATATATGAACTGAGAAATCAGCTGACAGTCCTTCCTAGAAAATAGCCCAAGGAATGTTAGTTGTGGCAGAGAAAGTAACTTCTCTAGAATTTCCGGAGAATAAAAATAGCTAAGAGTCTACATCAACTATAATGCTGAATTGAAAACATCAGGGGCTGGGGAGATAGCTCAGTGGAATAAGTGCTTGCCTGGCAAGTGCAAGGTCCTGAGTTCGATCCCTGGTACCACCAAAAAAAAAAAAGAAAGAAAACATCAGAACTGTATAGCCAATGATTCCCTATGTAAGATATAAATTTCTTACTTGTTTTTCAATTGTAGATGCATATTTAGAGTATTTAGCAGAAGACGGATTCAAAAGGTCTTTTGTAAATGGTTCCTTAATCTTGAAAGTGCCCCAAACCTCTATGAGAGACAGAAAGAAGTGTTTAGATGTAATACCTTCCTAATGTGATTTTATTAGCAGTACAAAATTAACAAAGGGTAAGTCAGTGCCCATCTATTCAACAGTGGTATTTTAATTTTTTTCATAATAAATATTCATCTAGAGTAACACAGGAAGGACAGTCCAGCCAGAGTTTTCAACTACAGACTTACAACAGGAACGGATAGAGATGGTATCTGAGACAAGTTTTCAAGTACAGAACCACATGGCCACTCTATGTAGACACAAGGCAGTAACTACAAACATGTAGCTCATCCGGCATGGAGTGTAAGCATTCTCTACTAAAACTCTGCTTTAGAAAGCATGATTTGTTGACCTGCTCCCTGCTAGCACCGCTCTGCACAAGGAAGGATCCCAGGCATCTTTCTTCCAGGACCTGGTCAACTGTCACCCCTTCTGTAAGCCCCTCCCTGGTCCTCAGATGCAGCCTTTCTGCTTCTGCATGTCTACCATACTTCAGCCTCTACCTCCCTACAGTCTCTGCTGCCTAAACCTCTGTCTGTGTCAGTGTAGTCAAGACTTCTCCCCATAGTCCTGTGGGCAGCACCTGGTGAGCATCACCTCTGTCTGGTCCATCTTTATAGCACTTCAGGATGAACCAGGCAAGAACCATCTCTCTGAAGAAAGCCTTTCCTTTATATTTGTTGAAGCAATTACACTGTTTTCCTTCTTGTCTTACAGCCTGCCCTCCTTAGCGTGCCTGGGAGCTTACAGATGAGAACAATAGAAATGGTCCCTCACATCCTCCTAGAATTTAGCCCAGCACTGGCTGTAGAGACGGTGCTTGGTGAATATACGCTGCCATACCCTGGACTGCTGTGGTGGCAGAATCGGAGTCACGGACACCAGTAGGGTAGGCCATGCCAAGCTCCAGTCACACCTTCCTCAGCTCCACTAATACCCATGGCTTCAGAACCCCAGGGCTCCCCTCACAGGAGCTTTGCAAGGTTCCTCAAGGTCCGGCGTCCACGTCATTGGCCGACCTCAGGTTCCGAGCACACACTTAAGGCAGCAGTAGCTCCCTTGCACCCCCTGGTTTGTAAACTGGCATGTTAACATCCACCTGCATTGTCTTTACTTCTCAGGATGTACTAGTGCCATGTGTGGTCACTTCAGAGAGGCTCTCAGTGTAGCCAGAACATGACCCTCCCGTGCTCACACTCCAGCACTGACCCCAGCCACAAGCGAGGAGAGAGCAGGAAGAAAGGTGCTGCCAGGCCAAGCAGTCGCCGGCTTGGGCTCTGAGCCAGTCCCTCTAACCCTCAACTTAATGTCATATAATTGGAGAACTAGGCTGGGTGGCCCAAGAATTTGCAATGGCGCCTGCAGCCTTCCTCGCCTTTCTGGGTCTTCTGCACATGTGAAGAGTGTACTGGGCCTAAAGGGTGTGTGGTCACCGCCCTTGCAGACCCTAGCTTCTCTTGGGGGCCTGCAGGCCAGAGGAACCTTGTTGTAGCCTGGAGGGGGTGAGGACGCCCCAGCCAGAGGTCCTCCCTGCTTACTTGCTCTCTCGCAGAAGTTGACACTTTGGCTGAAGTTGGTGAGATGACAGTCGCAGCTTGTGGGGGACCCGGTCACATTCAGGTGGCAGTGCTGGGGATCGAGACAGGTGAAGGGGAACCAGCTGTAGGTGTCCTCACAGGCACAGTGCAGGCCCCCGTTGTGGCTGTGACAATCTGTACAGAGACAGGACCTGCTCTCAGGAGCCCGGTCCCAAGCCAACCCGCGTGACTCAGTCCTCGGCACTGACTCAAACCTGAACCACGTATTTCTCACCAGGAGCCAGCAGGATGCAACAGGACACAAAACTAAACACCGGGCCTAGCACCCAGGAGGGACATATGTCCCCAGGATGACCTTGCAACCAGAGAGAGGAGCCGAGGATCTTCTCAACACTAGAGGCAAAAGACATTGGCCACCACCTTGTTGGAGTCCCCTCCATCCACCCTCCAAGGTTGGCCCTAAAAGCAAAATGGCGAAGACAGAGAAGCCTTTCAGGGCTTCTGGCATGATAGGAAGTTCCACCACTGTGTGCTGTCTGGTTCTTCTTTGGTATTGGGCCTAAAATTCCCACTGAAATCATTGCTTTTTAAGGGACAATGCAACAGGACAACAGATGTCTATGAAAATGCCTGTGGCCATGAGCACCGTGCAGTTCCCCAGTGTCATCACGCCTCAGATGCCCTGGAATTGGGGAATTGGGCCAGTCTGCCAGGGCCATACATTTGTCTTTCTGTCAAACTCCCAGCTCCCCCTCCGTGGCCCCAGCATCGCTGTGTGGACAGGTCTTTGCACTGCTCTAAATTCCACCCCCGTGGTGGCCGGTGCCCTTGGCCTGTCACTTCCTGCTGCTCCCCTGGCCCACAACAAGACTGTGTAGCAGCTCCCCAGACCTGGAGCCATTTCCAGCTGCTGCACTGCAAGCAGAACTAGGGCCATCAGAGCGCAGCAGCCCGTGTGAACCCTGACAGGGATCTACTTCCTGTGACCCAGCATGTGGCATTTGGCACAGGGTCTGGTCATCAGTCTAGGACACGGTGACAATCACAGACTCAGCCTCTCTGCTTTCGGCAATGGACAAGCAGCATGAAGAGGAAATGAAACCTTTTCTTCTTTTGCAGCACTGGGATGGGATGCAGGGCCTCTTGTACCCTGCCCAGGAGATCACCATAGAGCTGTACCCGGCCTTTACCCTTGGAGGCCCCAGCATACGATGGGGGTGATGCTTCGTACTCCCTAAGCACCTTAACAAGCACCTTCCCCAGCACCCTTGTCCCCACGCCCTAAGCACCCTAATGAGCACACTCCTCGCCAGCACACTGGCCAGGCGCTGACTCACACGTGGTGGCCTTCACCCCCAGGATCCTCGAGGGCCCCGGGAAGCAGCCTGATGGGGGCCCCCTTGGGAGCTGCAGCAGGGTCCTCCGCAGGAGCTCCTTCTCTCGGGAATTTCTGTAGGGCACCTGCAGTAGCACCTCGAATTCCCGGGCTGGGCCTGGAGGGAGAAGGGTAGTCAGCTGCCCCCTCTGTCATGGGAAAGATGCTGAGAGGGTTTCTGAGTAGCCGTGGTTGTGCTGGGGGTCACGACTCTCTATGCTGCTTGTTACAGACTTGTGGACTCTTCTATGCTCTGTGACGCCAACAGCCACCTGTGCAGGGTCACAGTAGGCAGGGCCACCTGCCCAAGCACATGCCCAAGCTCCCACCTCCCTGGCCAGGGCTTGGTGTTCTCTTCCAGTCCCGATGGAGGGAGGTGACCCAGGAAACCCTTCCGCTCTCCCCTCCAGGAGCAGCTCTAATGCAAACCCCAATTCACACCATGCAAGAAGCCTTTCTCCTCCTGTAAAAGAACCTTCCAGTAATTAGCTAAGATTTAAGAATTTCCATGAAACACAAAAACAGAGCTACACTATGCCTTGAGTCTCTGTGACACTAAGCTCCAGCTGATGGGTGCTGAAAAATAACTTTCTTTTCTCTCGTCAAACTCCCTGAGAGGAAGGATTCCGAGAACCTATACTTCTAGGTTCTGGCGTTCTCACTCTGCCTTCAGAAACAAGCAAATTCCTACCCGTGAGCCTTTGCAAGCACTGGCTCTGGAGCCAGACTGACTGGGTTTGAGTCCTGTCTACAGCTCCTAGCTGAATGCCTCTGTTTCACTAACTCTGTTTTTACAATACACTTTAATTTTTTAAAAAATCTTATTTGGTACAGGGTCTCACTATGCAGCTTGGACTCATAGTGATCCTCCTGTCTCAGTCTCCCCAGACCTGAGATTATAGGTGTGTGCCACCACGTCTGGTTTTGGGGCTGGCACAGCACACCCAGGGTGCTTGGACCACCCAGCTATTTCCCAAGCCCCACTTTATATACTTTTATCGTCACTCTTGCTGTCAGGGTAAAGGTACGCATGACCTTCCAAGCTGCAATGTTGACTTCATTTTCTCAGAGCACAGTAGCTTGCCATGGGGAAGGGTGACAGTAGCACACTGTGGAGGGCAAACACTGCATGGAAGAAAGACATCGTGGACTGACGCTGCGACCTACCAGCCATCAGTGTGCACCACAGATTTTTGGAGGAAATACATTCAGCTCCTGAAACACGCACAACACAGGGTGTTCCCAGACCCATTGGTGACCTCTTAGAATGAATGCTGGGGAGGAAAGAAAGGAAGTCTATGGGCTCCACACAGCGGGTTTGCTGCGAGGCGGGATTGCATGGTCTACCTCTCAGGAGCACCTCACTCTCAGGAATCACTGCTGTTCTCATGTTACCACTCGGGGTGTTTCAAAATGAACACAAAGAGGCACCGTGGAGCTAGAGCCACACGGTCCAGGCACCAAGGTCCAAGAAGTGGGGTCTCACCTGGCGGCCTTGGCTTATCCACCCTGAGGTCTCCTTTGGTTATGAAGTCATCGTGTCTCTGTGAGAAAAGATGCTGCTATGAGGCTTGAGAAAGCACCATTTCATAGACGTTTAGGTTTCCCAGGTGAACGGAAGGTACAGGTCTGAAATCCAAGCCCAGGCTGCTTGAGGGGTCTGCAAAGTCTGCTCTGAAGTGCAATGAAGCAGAGGCCCTGAGGAGGTGAGGAAGCAGCCTGCCCTGGAGGGGACCACCATGGCCCAAGGGCAGGGCTCTGACGGGTGGTTGTCAGCACAGCAAGGATTCCAGGGCAGCGGAGAGGCAGGGGTAGGGGAGAGCAGGGGTGACAGCCTCAAGGGAGGAGTGATGTGGCTTCTCTTTGCATCTGAGTGAAACAGAGAAAAACGCTCCCTGATGTGCTTTTTAGTGACCTCAATCCTGAAACCACACTGAAAATAAATAAAACAAAAGCAAGGACAGCCTGTCAGGGATTGCAGAGGTCCACAGTGCAGACGTGGGTCTGGGGTCAGGGCTAGGGTTAGGGCTGCTGGGAAGGCTTGGCATCTGGATGCCTTTAGAGGTAAAGCAACCAAAGAAATGGTTCAGACACAGCATGAGAAGAATCAACACAACCCTTCTTTTCTTTTTCTTTCTTTCCTCCTAAGCAGCTGGAGGGATGCAAGTGTCACTCACTAAGATAGGACATGGGGAGGAGGCCTGGGTGTGAAAACACCTGGCTGGTTCTGGTCACACAAAGTTGAGGACCTACTGGGCGCCCATTGTAAAATAAAGCAGATGGGGAGTTGAGGGCTGAGACAGGGACACCATTGTCTAGAAAAATCAAGAGCGTGGCTCTGGGTGAAAGCCAACAGAGAGCAGGAGGACCTCAGGGCTACTTGTGCCAGCCCCCAAGCTTGCTGCACCTGCACAGAGAACAGACTGCATTAGGCCAGGGCTCTGATGCCTCCACTCAGCCTTCTGAACACAAAGAGAAGGGCGGGTTTATTTAGGTGCCCAGGGAGGCTGATGACCATGAGAAAAGCCCTCAGGCGAGCTCATCCGGAGCTCCTAAGCTCCACAGTTCCCATGGCCTTGAGAGGGATGGGTTCTAAACAGGCCAGCAGAAGAGAGACCTTGGCCAACTCACCCTCAGGAAGCTCATGTGACCCTCAGCAACAGTGACAGAGAAGCAGATGAGACACAGCATCATGACCCTCATTCTCAGCAGAGACGATGGGCAGCTGGGTGCAGGGCTGGGCAGGGACCCCACGGGAGGTGGAGGCTCTGGAGCAGTAAGGGGGCGATCACAGGCATGGTGATCTCTCTGCCTGGAAGCTGTGACACCACGTCTTCTGCTGCCTCTTTGGACTGATACATTCCCATCTTCACCAAATTGCTGTAGCTCTCTCTGCTGGGCCATCAAATTTGACAACACAGAGCCTCTTTGAAGATCACTTCCAGGTGTGGAGATGCCCCCCTGTGATCCCAGCACTCAAGAGCCTGAGACAGGATCTCTGTGAGTTTGAAGCCAACCTGGGCTACGTAGCAAGTCCAAAGGCAGCTTGACAGCAAGCCCCTGTATCAGAAAAACCAAAAATGAAAAAGAAGGTAAAAATATAATGACAACACAATCACAATTTGCTTAGCGTGGCAACTGGATGTGGGTAACATCAGCCTTTTATGTTTCACTGAACTTTCCTTTCATCTTGGGAAATATAAACATTAAAATAACCAGGAGCCCTTAGAAGATCAATTTTAGGTGTTTAAACATAAAACAATAGGAAACTGAAACAGCAAATTTCCATCTTTAGAGCTGATACAATTAGCAGCAAATCATCTTTAAGCTCACAGTTACTCCATACCCTGTGCATCAAACTCAGAAGCCAGATGCAGCTGTAACATCTGTCTTTCTCCCCAGGTGACTTGGTCCAAGAGGAATGATGGTCAGTCAGAATGATCCTGTCCAACAAACTGCCACTCGACACCGATAGTTCTCTAAGTGTTGGGAGCCACAAGAAGCTAAGAAATTGATCAAATGTGTATAGGCAGGACTGGCCTCTACCTAAAGCAAACAAGCTGCCTCTGTCTTGAGAAATGCATCCTGTCTGGTTCAGGCCAGCTATTAGTCGCTAGGCAACCTTGTGTCATGTGTTACAAACTTTGCAAAAGTACAAATAAAACCTGTGTCCCAAATTTTCTGATCAAGGAGATTATGGGGCCACAGAGCAATGTGATTGATGGTGTAGAGTGTGCCTAAGGAGAGTCACTTGGAGAGAAAATATTCTCTCAGGCTTTCACAGAGAGCAAGTTGGTCAAGCAATGGCTATGACTCATCCACAAGGCTGACACTGACAAAGGATCTACAAACTGCGGTACAGGGCTACGGGATAAATCCTGAGGGGATTTAGCTGACTTTGTCAGATACAAAAGTTACATTTCTTCTTATATAGGTCTTGCTTTATCTTTTTCTTAACCATCCAGCAGAAAAGTATAAAAATGAGGTATAAAAAGTAAAGCCATATTAATATGCTGAGCTGTGAAATGCTCAAGTCAACAACTTCTGACACTGCCAATCATACAAACAACACACTACTATTATGGACTGCTGGACTATATTGGATTATTTTGCTGAATTCACACACCTACAATGTTTAAATGGCAATGGAATACCCATCTCTGACAAAACTAAGCAAAAGGGATATCAAGGAAGGACCATTTTGTATCTGTATACACACAATAGTTAGGGTAGACATATAGCTACTTTCCCTTAATTCAATGAGAAGAAAGATTCGTACTAATATTATTTGGACTGGATGTCATGTCTGCATCTTGTACTGTGAATAACCACTACAAAGATAACAGTATGCAATGTATTAATTATAGAAATTGTCCTATTAATCAGTTTTGAAACTGTCTCACTGCTGTTTCTCAATAAAACTAATTTTAAAAAGTATAAATAAAGGTTCCTTTTGTTGTGCATTGAGTTACTCTCGCCCATCAGGTGGACCAGCGACCACCTAGCCCAGCTTTTGTCTTCTCATCTATCTTTCTCATTCCTGCCATCATGTCTTCCCAGGTAGAACTGTTTACAGTAAGACCAACGGATTCCTCACCTAAGTGTAGTTAAAATTAAATTTCAGAGTCAGTTTCCCCAATGCACTAACCGTGTTTCCACTACTCAGGAGCCACAGGGGCTGTGGGGATGGCCACACTGTGTGTAGGATGACAAAACACTCCCATCATCGCTTAAACCACCCTGGTCAGCACTGACAGAGTGGGAGAGACTATTTCCCTGAAGTCTTTCAACATTTCATCTACACGGCTGCAGGAAACGGTTATGAAAATAGGATCCTCAAGGCCAATACTCCTCTTGGGTCAGCAGCACTGAGTACTGAGTGACCCGGTCCCTCCAGCCCTCACCTGGCTTCCTGGTGGACTCCGAGCTTCAGGCAGACTCTGCCATCCCCACCCACACTGTGTGCTCGTTCCAAGGATGGAACAGGGTAAGGGCAGGTGACAGCTACAGTCAGTGGAGACCTGACCAGAGATGTATAAAGAAAGAGCAAGATGATTCAATTTTTCTTGGTATGTTTGTTATGCATAATATTTATTCAGAGAAATTATATGTATATAATACCTGGATCATTTTTTGATCTTCTTTTCCACCCTCCCCTATGCCTACTTTCCCCTTCTCAGGAAAAGGAAGAATGCATGTTTCAAACCCATCAGTGACCTAAGCGTCCAGACACAGTCAGGCCTGCGGAGGGACCCACAGGACAGGTTCTGGGCTTCACCACAGTCAGTAGCGATGTGATGGCATCTCTCCTGGGGTGAGCGGACACAGCTTCCATCAACGCTGTGCTGACAAATTTTCAACATTGCAAATGTATCCAAAACTGCTAATTTTTTAAAGTAGTCTTTACATATGTTTCGTATTCTTCACACAATTTCCTAACAGGTAAAAGCAAGCTGTTCAATCAAATCCCCCCACAGAAACAAAACCAGCTGCCTGGCCGCCGCCTGCACTGAGCATCACATTGCCCCACTGAAGACACCTTCAGGGCTCTGGGGTGGGTGCAGGTGAAAGTGTGACCTCACTGTGGGGGACTCATGGATGCCACACCCGCATCTCCTGCCTTTTGAGTTCTGACAGAGGTGGCCAGTCACCCCTGGTTCTACCACTTCCCCACTCTACCTGCTTCTCATTTTGACAGACTGAGAACAGAAATGCTATCTTAGTGCTTTAATTATTTTTTTAAGATGCTGACCAGTCATTTGTTTCTGTTTTTGCCGCTTCTGCCTTGATCACTTAAATCAATGTTCTAAGCTTCTTGGAAGCACTCATCTTTTTCTGAAGAGTAGATTCCTCAGAGCCCTTTCACAGCCCAGGCTGAAGTCTGGACCACATGCCCTTCCTTTTGGTGATGGCTGAGATGGTTTTTCTTTGAACGGGAAGAAAGAATTTGTGGGCTGTGCTTTATCTGTCTGCATGCTTTCTGTCTGTCATGGCCAGCCTGTAGCTTGGTGGACTCACCAGGATATCAAAGGACCAGGACATCATGGGGACCGGGATACCATGGGGACCGGGACACCATGGGGATGAGCACATCCAGAGACCAAGACACCAGGGGACCAGGGGACCAGGACACCATGGGGACCAGGACACCATGGGGACCTGGACACCATGGGAGCCAGGATACCACAGGGACCAGGACATTGTGGCAACCAGGATGCCATGGGAACCTGGACACCATGGGGACCAGGACATTGTGGGGACCAGGACACCAGAGGACCTGGACACTATGGGGACCAGGACATCAGGGGACCAAGACACCATGGGGACCAGAACACCATGTGGACCAGAATGCCATGTAGACCAGACACTGTGGGGACCAGGGCACTGTGGGGACTAGAACATCAGGGGACTAGGATACCAGGTGACCAGGAAGCCACAGGGACCAGGACATGCAGGGCGTAGGACACTACAGGGATAGGACACGGCAGGGACATGTGTGCCTCTCCCCTTCTCTACGCTCCTCCAGTGATCCTTTTACCCAGTCTCTGAGTGAGAGGTTACAGCACATATCAGGTTTACATAAGCAGATTGTTTTAAGAAGAAAGAAAAAGGGGAAAGAAAACCCATGACACTGGGAGCCTGTGCCTCAGCCAACGTGGTGAGGAGCTGGGATGCGGCCCTGAGGGTCGGCGTGTGGGTTTTCTGCAGGCTGGGGAGGGGTTAAACTGGAAACCTGGGGGCTCACACCAGTGCTTGCAGAGCCAAACCCAGCTCACCCTGAAGAGAAAATAAGCACTAATTTGTGGTTATCACAGAGCTGGTGGCTTTGGTGGAGGCCTATAAAGTGTCCTCATCACCCTCCCCTGCCCTGGCCACAGGAGACCCACAACCTGGGTCCTCCCTGAGAAGGGCATGGGCTTTGGGGGTCGGAAAGCTGGGTTCTGAGCCCTGGCAGAGCCTCCAGGTCACGCACTCTCTTCTGCTCCTCACTATCCCAGCTTCATCCCTGTGCGCAACCTTCCTTAGGAAGTAAGATATTGAATCAGAGTTCAGGGTCTGAGGGACCAGCCAGCAGCAGTTGGCCACAGCACCCTGCACTCCAAGGAGTCACACCTCGGCTGGGGCTTACCTCCACACTCCTCTCCACACGCTGTGGCCCTCTGCGTAGTGCCCTTCCAAGGTGCGCTGGTGGCTGGAACACAGCTTGCTCTGTTTGCACGCAGGGGTCTGTGGTGTCGGGGCAGCCGCACCACACACTGAGTCACCGTGCCTGGGCACAGCTTGCTGCCTTGGCACCCAGAGCAGGCCAGGCGTTTGCCTCTTGGAAGGAAGCCTTTTCCTACAGCTCTCCTTCCCCTGAGGGCTGGGGAGAGGAAGGCGCCATGAGCAGGGCTGGAGGGTCCTCCCAGCAGTAACGGACGTGTGTCTGAAATCTTGAGAGAGGAACCGCTTGTGGGGAGCGTGGAGGGGCACCCTGCCTGGCACAGCTGCTGGGCAAAGCTCTGCGGTCCTGCCCTGGACACCGTCACACCTGTTAAGAGCCCAGGAATGCAGCCTTCCTGCAGGAGGGGAGCCAGGAGGGGAGGAGAGTGGTGGGGGCAGGGGTGACCTTTTCTCAACTTGCTCCACCTCCTCCAGGCTGAAGAATCCCCCTAAAATTCTCCTGGATAAGGTACCACAGAGGCGGGTGGAAAGTGGGGCCCTGGCCAGGAGCCCAGGGTGCTGGAGAAGGGTGTTTTCTGTGTTCTGTTGTCTTTAGGAAGCCCAGAGCTGGCTCGCTGCGCTAGTGAATTCTGATTTCCTCTCTAGCGAGCCATCCACCACCTGATCCGGAAACCTCAAAGGTCATGTTCTATTATGGGCTACCTCTAAGTGTGCCGACCTGCGAGTCGCTTCTGGTCGAGGCAGCGCAGAGACCAACAGCGAGGTCTAAATCAGCCTTCTATCATGGACTGCCGGGATAGGCATGCTTTCACCAATTCTCACAAATGTCACCAGAAAGGAAGCTGCGGACCGCTCTGAATTCACTCAACGAATCATTCGCTGTGGCTTCCGGCAAACACCCCACATTCCACCAGCAACGTGAGGCGCTTACCAGGCAAGGCACAAAGCAAAATAGGAATCAAGTAAAGACCTGTGAGCTGAGAAGGGCGTGTGGAAACTGTGAAGTACGCACAGAGGAATTAGGAAACCGTAAGTGTAGCGGAAACCCACGCAAAGACTACATGCCGTGAATATCACATCTCATAGGCTTGAAACTTGAAAAATAAGCGAGAAAAGAAGGAAACAATGGAAACAAACCTTTGTAAATAAGGAGAGGAAGCGGGGTTGAAGTAGGGGAGGGGATCGGGGAAAAAAGAATCAAGTTGTATCATGGACAGATACAAATTTCCTGTGATGAATGTGATCATTATTGTAAATCTAAATTGTACCAAGGATCAGCCAGATAGCTCAGCGGATTAAAGCGCCTGCTTAGGCAGAGCGCAGCGAATGGGGTTCGATCTCCAGGCCTCTGTGCCGGCTCTGCCCCGGGGCACGCTGAGAAGGCGACTGAGACTGGGAGTGGTGGCGCGTGCCTGTAATCCCAGCACATGGGAGGCTGAAGACAGGGGAATCACTACGAGTCCAATCTATGTAATGAGACCCTGTAGACCCTGCCCTAAATACAGAAAAAGAAATGTACCAATGAACTTAGTAAAAAACCAAAGAAATTACACTCTAAGGACAGAGCTTCCTAAGAACCAGAAAAAACCAGGGAAATTAATGGGGTCCATTTGTCTCAGCTTCAGAAAAGAAAAAGCTGTCACCTTCTTAAGGACAGAACGCTTCTCGGAGCAGTGAATTCTAAATGCAGTATGTTTTGTGAGCCGAATATTGAGTCCTGTGACTTTTTTTTTTTTAACTTTTTGTACTGGGTATTGAATTCAGGACCTCACGCTTGCCAGGCTGGTTCTGTCCCTCTGAGCTAACTCCCCAGCCCATGATTTTAAGTGAGGTCTGTTATGTCTTCTTTGTCCCCTGCCACCTTTGGGCACCATGGCTTTGGGACCTGCCCTTACAGAGTGACCCAAAGCCAAGCTGACCTCCTACAGGGACAGCAGTGAGGAAAGGCCGCCCCTCTGATCTGACTGTAAGGCTCCATCCATTACCATGTGGATGCCACACAAGAGCCTACGAGGCAGACACAAGGGTCCACCAGCTTCACCAAGCCAGCTAAACAAAGATGTCCTGGTCCACTGGACACTTCTTTTTCTAGTGACCTTGGTCTCAGGGACTCCACATTGCACAAATGGAGAAAAGTGAAAAAACCTTCCAGCTTCCTTCCTTCATCCGTCTGTTCAGCTCATTCTGGGAAGAGTCTGGCAGCCTGGGTTCCTAGCAAAAGAACAATGTCATAGGAACAGACAGTCACAAACCTGAGCCCTGGAGGAAAGGAAGTGGCAAACGGTGTCTATTACTGGAACGAGTTCCCTAAGATGCAACATCAACATAATTTCCCCGAGTGCCATGCGGTAGGAGTAGTATCTAAATTAGCAGTTTGCAGGAAGACCAGAGAAAGCCATGAACTCCACAGGACGTCCCAGTGGCGTGTCCATTTGTCAGAGGGCTGGGCACCCATGAGCCAGCTCTCAGAGAGAAACACCCATACCAGGGCTGTGACACAAGCAGCAGACTTGAGTGACGCATGGGAGTGGAAAACCTAGTACTCTTTCTGGTGGTTTATTCTGTAATTTCAAAAGGTTTGAAAACTATGAAAAAAAATGTATTTCCGTGTAAGTTTTTGAAAAATTGAAGACAGAGAGGGGAAGAGGGGGATGCACAGTGCAAAGTACAGTGGGGCTTTCCTGACAGGTGTGCTAAGACTTCCACAGGGCTGGCCACCTCACAGCTGTCACTGACAGGGAAGATGGTGAGAACCATCGGAGGAAGAAGCTTTGGTCAGTGTGGGTTAGCAAACACTTGTTTTTGAGGAAAAGGCATTATGTAATCATTGTTTTGCCACCGAACATTAAAACAAACAAAAGAAGCATTCACAGAACTAGAAAATCTGTATCATCTGGGTGACACAGCACAGGGCTGAATTCCTTAGCCCTTCCTGGGAGAAGACAGGGTGACTGCACAGCAACTGCAAGGAGGAAATGAGTCTCTCACAGGGGTTGGCCTGTGTCCCAAGCACGTGCCCCCACTGTCACCCCACTTCACAGATGAGGAAGTGGGGGCACAGAGCGGGTAAGTAATGGGTGAGCTGGGAACCATCCCTGTCTGGCTGCAAAATCTGCTCTGCTCACCTCAACTGCTTTTCAAAGAGGACAAGAAAAATACATGCTAAATAATCCCCAAAAGGTGAAAGCAAACCCAGCTGTCATGAGACAGGGAACCCTCGCCCTCTGGACTTTTCACCTCTCACTGGAAGTCCCTGAAGTCTGGTAGAACCCTCTATTCCACTTAATCTGACAAGGAAGCTTCCAGGGTGATGAAATCCTAGCTCTGGGGTCAGGATGTGCAGGGTTCAAATGCAATTGATAACAAAGGATCTGAGTTTGATCCCAGGTACTGCATGCCATGCCAGCCCAGAAGCCAGGCCCACATGGTGGCACATGCCTGTAATCCCAGCACTAGGGAGGCTGAGACAGGAAGATCACTAGGAGTCTGAGTTGAATAGCAAGACCTTGTGTCAAATAAAAAATAAAATATAAGATAACAGAAGACAGAAAGTGTGTGCTATAACATACATGAAGGGCTTTTTCCTCGTTTCACCTGACCCCCGGAGGCCATAGGCCAGGCTTGGCTTTGCCACAAAGGGCCCCATAGGGAAGAAATTCCCCTTGCTGCCCTGGCCAGAACCCTGCCCTCATCACAGACCCCAAGAGCCAGGCCCTGGGCAGTGAGGTGCGCTTCTCTGGCCGCAAGTGCAGAGGCAGGAAAGACCAGCAGGACTTCGAACCCCGCTGGGTTAGAGGCTAAAACCTCAGGCCACTGCTAAGCACAAGTAGAGGACGTTCCTGCGGGTCACAGCTGCCCCCGAGCAAAATAAGTCAGGCTCCGTCCACACCTTTCTGTGATCCTGTGGCTGTGCTCTGTTTCCGCGTGAGGACAGTCGCGTGAAGACCACATTCTTACTCCTTTATGTGTGCTTCTTGGAGGAGAAACTCAGGCTGACCTCCCCGCATCAACAACCGCAGGCCGTCCCTTGAGCAAAGGGCGCCATCTAGTGGGCATAATTCACAGTGCGGGCGAGGCCACGTGGCTTGCAAAGCAAGGCGGACGCCACTGAGAGACTTGCGGTGGGGCTAGAGGCGGGAGTCTTCCACGCAGGTAAGCAGCTCGCCTCTAACCCGAGCCATGCTCCTGACAGGCTCTATTTGGAGCAGAGCGCAGTCATTCACCCGCATAGTCACTCAGTGCCCACTGATACTAGGTGTCTACCTGGCACAAGGTCTCGAAATCTGCAGGGACTCCTCAGGTTCCCGCGACTCGGAGGGGGCCTCGGCCGGCACGACGGGTTAGAACCCACCGTGACGAGCACTGCCCACGGCGGGCTGCAGAGAGCCCGAGGAGGCGCACCATGAGCCTGAGTAAGAGGAAGGCGCGCCCGAGCGCAGGTCTCGCACGGGCGCCCGCATCTGGCCTGCAGATGTGTTTTGTTTGGACTGTGCAGTGCTTTCAAAACCCTGCATGCGTTGCCAGTGTTTAAACGTCTGGGGATTTGGCATGATTTCAGCTTCTTTTGGAAAATGGGAAGACCTGACCACAGTACGTCCCTGTTCCTGCCAGGTGACGTTCAGCCTGGCCTGGGGGAAGCGTCTTTCCTAACACTTCTCCGTAACAGCCGCTCATCTAATTATTTCGGTGAGGTCGTGGGAGACTTCACATGAATAAGGTGTGGAATTCAGAGTCACGACAGCGCAGTCACTGCAAACGAAATCTGCCCCCGCCGCCCTCGCTCCACACCAACCAGACGTCGTGGAGAAAAGCAGCCACTTGTCAGTGAGAGACTGGACAGTTATGTTCCCTGTACACACACAGTTTACACCGCTGTTCATTTTCTCTGTATTAGAATTACATACACGTAATTAGATTACATACATGAAATTACAAAACTATACACACATTAGAAAAATAAATAGTTGTTGAGAAAAGCATATCGAAAGAACAATCAAAACCCAGACATTCCAAAAGGAAAAGTTGACAGGTTGTTTTATTTTATCTATTTTTTGTATTTTAGGGAAGGGCCTACAGTGTATTCAGGGTCTCAGTACTAGGTTGAACTTGTAGTGATCCACCTGTTTACAGCCTCCCAAGAGCTGGGATTACAGGCGGGCGCACCACCACGCCCAGTCTCAATTGCCATCTCAGCATACCTCAGGGGCAGGCCGGCACGGCAGGCCTGGGGACCAAACCCCTGGCCCCAGCACCTGCTTGCAGGAGCTTTAACACACTGAGCTATTTGGCCGGCCATGTTTTGCTTTTTTTGTTTTTGGGGTTTTT